AGGAGCATGCCACCATGTTCGACTAATTTTTTTTTTTTTTTTCTTTTGAGACAGAGTCTCTATGGCCCAGGCTGGAGTGCAGTGGTGCGATCTTGGCTCACTGCAAACTCTGCCTCCCGGGTTCACACCATTCTCCTGTCTCAGCCTCCGGAGTAGCTGGGACTACAGGCACCCGCCACCGCACCTGGCTAACTTTGTATTTTTAGTAGAGACGAGGTTTCACCGTGTTAGCCAGGATGGTCTCGATCTCCTGACCTCGTGATCCGCCCACCTTGGCCTCCCAAAGTGCTGGGATTATAGGCATGAGCCACCACGCCTGGCCAATTTTTGTATTTTTAATAGGGATGGGTTTTTACCTTGTTGGCCAGGCTGGTCTCGAGTTCCTGACCTCAGGTGATCCTCCCGCCTCAGCTTCCCAAAGTGCTGCGATTACAGGTGTGAACCACCTTGCCCAGCTGCAATTCTATGTTTCAAATTACTTTTTCTTACTGAATTGCATTAGCTAATGCTTCCAGTACACACACACACACACACACACACGGCTATAGGTATAGATAATCATCGTAAGAAAGTATTCACTAATTTCTATTTTTCTGGAGTGCCGATATCAATAATGGACTGGGTGTGGTGTTGCATACCTATAGCCCCAGCTACTAAGGAGGCTGAGGGAGGAGGATTCCTTGAGCCCAGGAGTTTGATCCAGCCTACACAACATAGGAAGACCCTATCTCTGATAATAATAACAATAATAATAAATGAGTGTTGAATTTTTTTCCAAAGGCTTCATCAGCATCCATGGAGAAAGTCACATGACTTGTTCTCGTAGATGTATTTATATGGTGCATTATTTAACAGATTTTTTTTTCTTTTCTTTTCTTGAGACAAGGTCTGGCTCTATCACCCAGGCTAGAGTGCAGGGGCGTGGTCGGTCTCAGTTCACTGCAGCCTCCAACTCCTGGGTTCAAGCGATCCTCCCACTTCATCCCCCTGAGTAGCTGAGACTACAGGCACACACCATCACACATGACTAATTTTTGTCTTTTTTGTAGAGATGGGGTTTCACCATGTTGCCCAGGCTGGTCTGGAACTCATGAGCTTGGGCCATGCAACCCCCACCTCAGCCTCCCAAAGTACTGATATTACAGGCATGAGCCACTGCACCTGGACTATTTAATGGATTTTCTTTTTTTTTTTTTTTTTTTTGAGAAGGAGTCTCGCTCTGTCGCCCAGGCTGGAGTGCAGTGGCTGGATCTCAGCTCACTGCAAGCTCCACCTCCCTGGTTTACGCCATTCTCCTGCCTCAGCCTCCCGAGTAGCTGGGACTACAGGCGCCCGTCACCCCGCCCGGCTAGTTTTTGTATTTTTTTAGTAGAGACGGGGTTTCACTGTGTTAGCCAGGATGGTCTCGATCTCCTGACCTCGTGATCCGCCTGTCTCGGCCTCCCAAAGTGCTGGGATTACAGGCTTGAGCCACCGCGCCTGGCCTGGATTTTCTAATAACTGCACTAATATTGCTGCTTTAGGCTAAATTTCACATGGGGATAGTTATTTTCTTAATGTGGTCTTGTCTTTTATTTGCTAAAAGCTAATATAGCATATTTGAATCCATATTCATAATTGATACTGGTTTGCAATTTTTCATTTTTTGTACTCTACCATTTTTTTTTTTTTTTTAATTTTTTGAGATGGAGTCTCGCTCTGTCACCATTGGAGTGCAATGGTATGATCTCAGCTCACTGCAACCTCTGCCTCCTGCGTTCAAGTGATTCTCCTGCCTCAGCCTCCTGAGTAGATGTGATTACAGGTACGTGCTACCACACCTGGCTGATTTTTGTATTTTTAGTAGAGACAAGGTTTCATCATGTTAGCCAGGCTGGTATTGAACTCCTGACCTCAGGTGACCCACTAGCCTTGGGCTCCCAAAGTGCTGGGATTACAGGCGTGAGCCACCACGCCCAGCCTCTGCCACATTTTATATCAATGTTTTACTTTTTTCATAAAAGGAATTAGGAAGTGTTTCTTCATTTTCATTGTTCCTAAATTATGGAGCACTGGGAATATCTGAACTTGGAAGGTTTGGTATAATTCTCCATTTAAAACCTCTAAGCCCACGTTTACAGTTCAATGACCGTTGACAAGGGTGTCAAAATAATTCAATGGGGAAAAAATAGTATTTTAAATGAATGTGACATAGCCTTAACAATGTCTGAAACAGTCCGGGCGTGGTGGCTCACACCCGTATTCCCAGCACTTTGGGAGGCTGAGGCGGATGGATCATGAGGTCAAGAGATCGAGACCATCCTGGCCAAACATGAAACCTCGTCTCTACTAAAAATACAAAAACTAGCTGGGCGTGGTGGTGTGCACCTGTAGTCCCAGCTCTTCAGGAGGCTGAGGCAGGAGAATCATTTGAACCCGGGAGGCGGGAGGTTACAGTGAGTCAAGATAGAGCACTGCACTCCAGCCTGGCAACAGAGTGAGGCTCCATCTCAAAAAAAAAGAAGAAAAAAAGACACTTGCACACACGTTTATAGCACACAATTTGTAATTGTAAAAATATGGAACAAGCCTCAATGCCCATCAACTAATAAGGGGATAGCGAAAATGTGGTGTATATACACCATATAATACTACTCAGCCATAAAAAGTAAGAAAGTCATAGCATTCTGAGCAACGTGGATGGAGACCATTATTCTAAGTGAAGTAACTCAGGAATGGAAAACCATATATATGTTCTCACTTGTAAGTGGGAACTAAGCTATGAGGATGCAAAGGCGTAAGAATGATATAATGAACTTTGGGTGGGTGCAGTGGTTCATGCCCATAATCCCAACACTTTGGGAGGCTGAGATGGGCGGATCGCTTGAGGCCAGTAGTTCAAGACTGGCCTGGCCAACATGGCAAAACCCCATCTCTACTAAAAATACAAAAATTAGCCGAGCATGCTGGTGCATATCTGTAATCTCAGTTACTCAGAAGGCTCAGGCAAGAGACCGGCTTGAACCTGGGAGGCGGAGGTTGCTGAGATCATGCCACTACACTCCAGCCTGGGCAACAGAGTGAGACTGCATCTCAAAAAGAAACAAACAAACAAAAAAAAAAAAAAAAAAAGGAAAGAAAGAAAGAATGAACTTTGGGGACTCGGTGGAAGGGTGGGAGGAGGGTGAGGGATAAAAGTGGATAAAAAAACTACACATTGGGTACAGTGTATGCTGCTCGGATGATGGGTGCACCAAAATCTCAGAAATCACCACTAAAGAACTTATCCATGTAACCCAAAACCACCTGTTTCCCAAAGGCTATTGAAATAAAAAATAAACCTTTTTCCATTTTTATTTACATTGATATTTGTTTTCTAGGTTTTATTTTTTGGGCTGGGAATTTATTTATTCTCCTCTTTTTTTTTTTTTTTTTTTTTTTTTTTGAGACAGTCTCGCTCTGTTGCCCAGGCTGAAGTGCCGAGGTGCCATCTCGGCTCACTACAACCTCCCAGGTTCAAGTGATTCTCTTGCCTCAGCCTCCCGAGAAGCTGGGAATACAGGTGCACGCCACCACGCCCAGCTGATTTTTGTTATTTTTTAGTAGAGATCAGATTTCACCATGTTGGCCAGGCTGGTCTTAAACTCTTGGCCTCAGGTGATCTGCTTGCCGCAGCCTCCTAAAGTGCTGGGATTACAGGTGTGAGCCACTGCACCCAGCTATTCTCATTTTTATTGACAAAAGTGTTTAGGAATATGAAGTTTCCTTTGACCACTGCTTAAAAGATGTCCTGTATTATCCATAAAAGCCAAAAAAAAAAAAAAAGAGAGAGAGAAAGAAAACCCAATATCCAACAACTGTTGTTATGATACAGCCATACAATGGAATCTTATTTAGTAAAAATAATTAAGTACTGATACATGCTACTTGGATAAACCTTGAAAACATTAAATGAAACAAGCCAAACCCCACATGTTTTATACTTTAATTCTACAGGCAATATCTACAGGAGCAATCTATACAGACAGAAAGATTAGTTGTTGCTTTGGACTCTGGGGGTGGTGAATGGGGCTGGATGAGTGGATTGGGTGATCATGGCTAGGGTTTATTTTTGTGGTCATGAAAATGTTTTAAAATGTGATGATTGATGCACAAATATATGAATATACAAAAAAATATGAATATACTTTAAACAGGTTAGTTGTATGCTCTGATAATTGTATCACAACAAAACTAAAGGCCTAAGGAAGGAACTGAATGTATCAGAGGCATAGATCATTTTATGGATTAACAGGTTAATCTTTTTTTTTTTTTTTTTTGAGACAGTCTCACTTTGTCACCCAGGCTGGAGTACAGTAGCACCGTATTGGCTCACTGCAACCTCCGTCTCCTAGGTTCAAGCAATTCTTCTGCCTCAGCCTCCCAAGTAGCTGGGCTTATAGGCGCCCACCATCACGCCCGGCTATTTTAAAAATATTTTTAGTAGAGATGGGGTTTCAGCATGTTGGCCAGGCTGGTCTCGAACTCCTGACCTAAGGTGTTCCGCCTGCCTTGCCTTCCCAAAATGTTGGGATTACAGGCGTGAGCCAACGCCCCCAGCCCCATCAGGGCTGTTTTTAATCTTTTAAACAGGGTGTCGCTGGTCTCGAACTCCTGGGCTCAAGCGATTCTCCCGCAGTAGCTAGGACTACAGCGGGCTTATCTTTGTAAATACGTTTATATCCCTGCCGAAGGTTGAAGAAACACGGAGAAAATCCTGCGGAAAAGAATTTCCCTAGGGTGGTGGCTCACGCCTATAATCCCAGCACTTTGGGAGGCCAAGGTGGAAGGATCACTGGAGCCCAGGAGTTCCAGACCAGCATAAGTAACAGAGAGAGACCCTGTCTCTACAAAAAAACAAAAATAAAAATAAATTAGCCGGGCGTGGTGGCACACACCTGTGGTCCAAGCTACTCGGGAGGCCGAGGGGGGGAGGATCCTTTAGGCTCAGGAGTTCGAGATCAGCCTGGGGAACATGGTGAGACCCGAGTGTCTAGAAAAAGATAAATTAGCTGGGCGTGATGGGCGCGAATGTGGTCCAAGCTACTCCGGAGGCCGAGGCGGAAGGATCGCTTCAGCGCAGGAGTTCTGGGCTGCAATGATCTATGACCGCGCCACTGTACTCCAGCCTAGGCGACAGACCAGTGCCTTATCTCAAAAAACTAAAGAAAAAGAAAAAAAGAAAAGTACTCGATGAGCACCCCGTTCTCAAAAAACTAAAAAAGAAAAAAAAGAAAAGAAAAGCACTCGATGAGCATCCCGCTGCCTGCAGTCCAAGCCTTGGGTGACGCCTCCACGCAAGCCCCGCTCCCTGCACCGGTCCCCGCCTCCGACCCGGCCTTAGGCTCTGGGTTTCCTGGCCAGCGTCGTTCCCAATATCGACAGATTGATCTGGATCCTGGTCCACCCCGGATGCGAGAAAACGGGACTTTTCTGTCCGCGTGTCGAAGAGGCTGCCCCAGCTCTTCTCTGCGCTTCACATCATCCAAAGCCGTTGGGGTTCGGCCCCCTTAAGCTTAAATCGGTGCGCAACCGGAAGCGGAAGTGCGAGACGGTGCGCCGCCGTACGTATTCTGCGCTCTCCAGCCGCTTCCTAGCTGGGTTTTCACTTCAGCCGGCGCTCATGGTCAACCTAGGCAGGGCCGGGCAGGAGGGCCTAGCAGGAGGCGGAGTGAGGGTCGGAGAGCGCCACCAGGTCTGAGACGCGCCGGCCTAACGCGGCTGCTCGGGGGAAGCGGCGCCTCCTCCCAACCAGGACTAGGAGGCGGGGATTCTCCCCGCAGCCTGCTCGGAGCGCCTCTTCCCGCTGCGCCCGCACCAGTCTGGTCGTGGCCCAGGGTCCACGGTGGAGGCGTGTTTTTTCCTCCAGCCACCGCGCCCCCTCTGTTTAAAATCAGCCAGTCAACCTTTTTGTCCTTTCTCCAGAGGGAAAGCATCTCCGCTGTTCTGGAAAAGGGCCCCAGTGTCCTCTTGTCACCGACCGGGCGATTGCCGTGCGTTCCGGTGAGCCCTGGACGGAGGAGATGCTCTGTGTTGGCGGGGGCGGGGGGGGGCATCGCTTATTGAAATTTGAGAAATTGCTCAGCAGTTAAATGCTTTTTCAAGTGTGCAGGAGTTGTAGGTTTATAGAAATAAAAGCAAATATTGCCACAGTTATAAAGCAAAGTAGCAATACCCCGCTGGTTTTGAGATCAGAAGCAGCTGCACTTCCTAGGCCCCTACCTCCCAAAGAGCTTCAAAACGGAGGGGCTTCCAGGAAGTAGGATGCAGCCTTCATTATGCCAGTATCAACAGTTACAGTTGTATTAACTGTGAGAGAGACGTTTTGTTTCGGTGTTTTTCCCCTCGTGTGTGTGTGTGTGTATATATATATATATATATATTTTTTTTTTTTTTTTTTTCCCGAGACGGAGTTTCTCTCTTGTTGCCCAGGCAACAGTGGCTCACCCCTGTAATCCCAGCACTTTGGGTAGCAGAAGCAGGAGGAGCCCCTGAAGCTATGCGTTTGAGACCAGCTGGGGGCAACATAGTGAGACCCCATCTCTACAAAAAATATAAAATAAAGCATAACTAAAGTCAGTGACAATATCAAGTCTTCTTTAAGATGTGCATACATTGCTGACGAGAACACTTTTTTTTTTTTTTTTTTTTTTTGAGACTGAGTCTTGCTCTGTTGCCAAGCTGGAGTGCAGTGGCGTGATCTCGGCTCACTGCAACCTCCATATCCAGGGTTCAAGTGATTCTCCTGCCTCGGCCTCCCAACTAGCTGGGACTACAGGCACGCGCCACCATGCCCAGCTAATTTTTGTCGTTTTAGTAGAGACGGGGTTTCACCATGTTGGCCAGAATGGTCTCCATCTCTTGACCTTGTGATCCATCTGCCTTGGCCTCCCAAAGTGCTGGAATTACAGGCCTGAGCCACCGTGCCCAGCCACATTTTTAAGCAGTATCAACTAAATATGGACTTGGTGATGCAACATGCATACGTGTGCCAGGCTAAATGTAAAAGTTATTAATCATATTATTTGAAATAGCCTAAATTAGAAACAACTCAAATGTGGATCCACAGAATGGATGAATTGTGGCATATTTCTTTCTGTGGACTCTTTTTTTTTTTTTTTGACGGAGTCTTGCTCTGTCACCCAGGCTGGAGTGCAGTGGCACAGTCATGGCTCACTGTAATTTCCGCCTTCCTGGTTCAAGTGATTCTCTTGCCTTAGCCTCCCGAGTAGCTGGGATTACAGGTGCGAGCCACCAGGCCCAGCTAATTTTTCTTTGTATTTTTAGGAGAGATGGGGTTTCACCATGTTGACCAGGCTGATCTTGAACTCCTGACCTCAAGTGATCTGCCCACCTCAGCCTCCCAAAAAAGTGCTGCAATTACAGGCGTGAGCCACCGTGCCCGGCCTCTGTGGCATATTCTTCAGCAAAGATAAAAACCAAATCACAGGTGGATGAAAACAACTTGGGTGCACCTCACAAGCATAATGCTGACTGAAAAAAGCCAGATACAAAAGAATCCTTATTGTCTGATAGTTGCTAGGCAAAGTCAACTAGAGTATTTTTTCTTGTAGTCTTTGTTTTCTTATATATATGTGTGTGTGTATGTGTGTGTATATATATATATTTTGTTGTTGTTGTTGTTGTTGTTTTAAATAAGGAGACTTGGTCTCACTATATTGCCCAGGCTGGTCTGTTAACTCCTGGCCTCAAGCCATCCTACTTCGACCTCCCAAAGTGTTGGGATTATAGGCATGAGCCACCGCCTGGCCCAACTAGAGTATTAAGTGTCAGAATAGTATTACAATTGGGAGGCATGTCATGGAAAAGACTATGTCTGAGATGCAGGGTATGGAAATGCTCTATTTTTTTTGTTTGTTTTTTAAGACGGAGTCGCACTCTGTCACCCAGGCTGGAGTGCAGTGGCATGGTGTCGGCTTACTGCAGTCTCCACCTCCCAGGTTCAAGTGATCCCCTGATCTCAGCTTCCCCAGTAGCTAGGACTACAGGCATGTGCCACGACACCCTGCTAATTTTTTTGTATTTTTAGTGGAGACGGGGTTTCACCGTGTTGGCCAGGCTGATCTAAAACTTCTGACCTCGAGGAATTCGCCTGCTTTGGCCTCCCAAAGTGCTGGGATTACAGGCGTGAGCCACCATGCCCAGCCTAAAATATTTTTTGTTTGACATATCCAACTGACATGCTATTACTCTTTTCCCAAAGGTCATTTTTTTCCAGGACACTTTCTGTCTTCATCAGAGGAACATCGAGGAAGCAAGGCTGGTGGCTAGATTACTGATGGATTCTTCTCAGGCAAGTTAGGAAAGACCTAACTTCAAAATGTTATGCTTGTAGCTGTCATCAGGTAGCCTTACCTCCTTATCGTGTATTCAAGCATCTTAAAGAAATGATGGTCCTGCTCAGGAAATAACTCCCCAAATGAATTTCTCTAGAAACCATGCCATCTCAGGTTGTACAGAGATTGCAATGGAAATGATTGTTTTATCTCAATATTTACTAATTCTTTCTGATCCTCAATCATGCTTGTTGGCTCATTGTTTTGCTGAGTGTTATGACAGATTGTAAGAAGGGGATGGAGGTGTCTAAATCTGAAGGAATTTCTGCATCACTGTGGAGATACTTCAATTTTTATTAGATTTTACATAGTGCTGCAGCATATTCAGTGCAGACTGCAGCTATAAATAGAGGAGGACTGAGGCCAGAAGAACCCATTGTAAAGCTGTAGTAAGATCAGTTTAGTCATGTTCAGTGATGCTGATGAGTCCACGTGACTGGATGCAGTTGCAAGACAATATCTATATAGAGGAGAAGAGGCCTGAGGCCTGGGAGTACTGCAGGCTTCTAGTCTTCCTTAGTCCTTCATGCATTTTTCTCAGAACATCAAAGAAGATGGTACTAAGCTGAAGCCAGCATATATTTAATGGTTTAGCACTTAGTGACCTTTGAGGATGTGGCTGTGGACTTTACCCAGGAGGAGTGGACTTTGTTGGATCAAACCCAGAGAGATCTCTACAGAGATGTGATGTTGGAGAACTACAAGAATCTCATTATACTAGGTAAAACTGGCATCATTTCTTCACTGACCCTTTTAGGAAATCAATGTTTCTTAAATGTTTGCTGTCAAATAGGGGTACTGTAATAAGCAAGACAGGCATAGACGTTAGCCAGTGGGCATTCCTGGTTTTTTTTTGTTTTGTTTTTTGTTTTTTTGAGACACAGTATGACTCTAGCGCTCAGGCTGGAGTGCAGTGGCACAGTCTCTGCTCACTGCAACCTCCCCCTCCTGGGTTCAAGTGATTCTCCTGCCTCAGCCTCCCAGGTAGCTGGGATTACAGGCGTCCACCACCATAGCCAGCTAATTTTTGTAGTTTTAGTGGAGATGGGGTTGCACCATGTTGGCCAGGCTGGTCTCAAACTCTGACCTCAGGTGATCCACCTGCCTCACCCTCCCAAAGTGCTGGGATTACAGGCGTGAGCCACGTGCATGGCCTGGGCATTACTTTATAGAACAAGCTTGTAAACTTTCTTAAGGCATTATGATATTTATGCACAGACCTGTTTTTTCATTTGTTGTAGCTCATCAGCTATTGTTAGTGTTAGTGTATTTTATATGTGGCCAAGACCATTCTTCTTCCAGTGTGGCCCAGGCAAGCCAAAAGATTGGACACCCCTGGCATAGAGGATTCCTCATGAAAATAAAGATTTAAGTAAATGAGTTTATTTCATGTATGGATTAAAAACTTTAAGACTTTAAATGTGTATGTGAAGTTGGACTTGGTTTTCCAGGCTCAAGCAATTCACCTGCCTCAACTTCCGGAGTAGCTGGGACCACAGACCCATGCCACCATTCCCTGCTAATTTTTGCATTTTTAGTAGAGATGAGGTTTCACCATGTTGGCAAGGCTGGTCTTGAACTCCTAGCCTCAAGTGATCTGCCTGCCTTGGCTTCCCAAAGTGTTGGGGTAACAGGCATGAGCCATTATGCCTGGCCAACATTTTTGCTATTTTTAAAATTGTTTTAGTGCACGTATTGGAAATGTTGTATGATTAGTTTGCTGTTTGTAAAGTTACACTTGACCATCTTCAGAATCCCTGAAGGCAAAAGTATTTGTTCCCCATTCGAGGACATGGTGTTATGTCTTGCATGGGGCTCTTCTTTTGTGCATTTTTCCCTCCAGCAGGGTCTGAATTATGCAAACCCAGTCTTACGTCTGGATTGGAACAAATGGAAGAGCTGAGGACAGGAGTGACAGGAGTCCTGCAGGGTGAGTTCATTAGCAGATATGGTATTATGAAGATCAGTGCCAGCCTGCGAGAAATGCAGTACATTGGAAATGTTACTTTGCAAACTTCTCAGGGTATGCTTTTCTTCCTGAGAAGGCTGAGGCCATTTGGTTTCCTTAGATAACTTCAACTCCCCTCATCTTTAAATTTCTATTGAACTTCTCAACCTTTTTTCTGTTCTCAGAAAGGTTAGTGTGCCTTATTTGAAAATTCCATCGTATGCATGTAGGTCCTTTGCCAACACCTTCTCATATTGCTTCTTGTTTCTCCCATCTTTTTGCTTACTGTCAGCCTCAGTTTTCTGCATATTATTACTTGGATAATAAGTAATACAGTTTTTTTGTTTTTGACATGGAGTCTTGCACTGTTGCCCCGGCTGGTGTGCAGTGACCTGATCTTGGCTCGCTGCAACCTCCACCTCCTGGGTTCAAGCAGTTCTCCTGCGTCAGCCTCCCAAGTAGCTAGGATTACAGGCGCCTGCCACCACGCCCAACTAATTTTTTGTATTTTTGGTAGAGATGGGATTTCACTATGTTGGCGAGGCTGTTCTCGAACTCCTGACCTTGTGATCCACTCGCCTCAGCCTCGCAAAGTGCTGGGATTATAGGTGTAGTCATACAGTTTTGACACCATATCTTTATCATCGCAAAACTTCTGACATAGCCAAACTCTTTATAGTCCATCTTTCCATTTGCTTCACTCTTTTTTTTTTTTTTTTGAGACGGAGTCTGGCTCTGTCGCCCAGCCTGGAGTGCAGTGGCCGGATCTCGGCTCACTGCAAGCTCCGCGCCCAGGTTTACGCCATTCTCCTGCCTCAGCCTCCCGAGTAGCTGGTACTACAGACGCTCGCCACCTCGCCCGGCTATTTTTTTGTATTTTTTACTAGAGACAGGTTTCACCGGCTTAGCCAGGATGGTCTTGATCTCCTGACCTCGTGATCCGCCCGTCTCGGCCTCCCAAAGTGCTGGGATTACAGGCTTGAGCCACCGCGCCCGGCCTGCTTCACTCTTTTTTTATCATGTTTTATGCGTGTTTGGAAAGATTTACAAATGCGCCATATACTTCTTTTAGGTAAAATATACAAAATTTTACCATTTTAGTGTTGTGCAGCTATCAGCTCTTTTTATTTTCTTTTTTTTTTTTTTTCTTCTTTTTTTTTTTTTTTTGAGACGGAGTCTCGCTCTGTCGCCCAGGCTGGAGTGCAGTGGCGCGATCTTGGCTCACTGCAAGCTCCGCCTCCCGGGTTCCCGCCATTCTCCTGGCTCATCCTCCCGAGTAGCTGGGACTACAGGCGCCCACAACCGCGCCCGGCTAATTTTTTGTATTTTTAGTAGAGGTGGGGTTTCACCTGGTCTCGATCTCCTGACCTTGTGATCCGCCCGCCTCGGCCTCCCAAAGTGCTGGGATTACAGGCGTGAGCCACCGCGCCCGGCCCAGCTCTTTTTATTTTCAAAACATTTCTTTCTTTTCTTTTCTTTTTTTTTTTTTGAGACAGACTCTCTCTCTGTTGCCCAGGATAGAGTCTAGTGGCACCATCTCGGCTCACTGCAACCTCCATCAGCTTCCTGGGTTCGAGTGATTCTCTCGCCTCAGCCTTCTGCGTAGTTGGGACTACAAGCGTGTGCCACCACACCTGGCTAATTTTTGTGTTTTTTGGTAGAGATGGAGTTTCACTACGTTGGCCAGGCTGGTCTCAAACTCCTGACCTCAAGTGATCTGCCTGCCTCTGCCTCCCAAAGTGTTGGGATTACAGGCATGAGCCAGTGTGCTTGGCCTAGTTTTAAAGCATTACCATCACACCAAAAGGAAACCATGTACCCATCAAGCAGTCACTACCCAGTCACCCTACAAAGACTAATTTGCTTTCTCTCTCTATGGATTTACCCTTTTTGTATATCTTATATAAATGGAATCATACAATGTAACCTTTTCTGTCTAGCTTCTTTCACTTAGCTATATATATATGTGTATGTGTGTGTATATATGTGTATATATGTATATGTGTATATGTGTGTGTATATATATGTGTATATATGTGTGTGTGTGTATATATGTGTGTGTTTCTATATGTGTGTGTGTATATATACATATATATATATTTTATTTATTTATTATTTTTTTGGACACAGAGTCTCACTCTGTCACCCCGGCTGGAGTTCAGTGACGTGATCTTGGCTCACTGCAACCTCCGCCTCCTGGGTTCAAGTGATTCTTGTGACTCAGTCACCTGAGTAGCTGGGATTACAGGTGCACATCACCACACCTGTCCAATTTTTGTGTATTTTTAGTAGAGACAGCTCTTCACCATGTTGGCCAGGCTGGTCTTGAATTCCTGGCCTCAAGTGATCCGCCTGTCTTGACCTCCCAAAGTGCTGGGATAATAGGCGTGAGCCACTGCACCCAGCCCAGCACAGTTGATTCTGATAGCTTTTCTGAACTCATTAGTTATATTGTGGTAGGAAAGAGCTCTGGAGTTCTTCACTCTGCCACATTTGATTATGCTATTTCTGTTCTTTAGGCTTTTTTTTTTCTTTTTTTTTTTTGAGACAAAGTCTTGCTCTGTAGCTTGGGCTGAAGTGCAGTGGCGGATCTCAGCTCACTGCAACCTCTGCCTCCTGGGTTCAAGTGATTCTCCTGCCTCAGCCTCCCAAGTAGTTGGGATTATAGGCACATGCCACTGCACCTGGCTAATTTTTTGTATTTTTAATAGAGACAGTGTTTCACCATGTTGGCCAGGCTGGTCTTGAACTCCTAACCTCAGGTAATCTACCTGTCTAGGCCTCCCAAGGTGCTAGGATTACAGGCATGAGCCACCACGCCCAGCCCCATAGGTTTTTCAATGACTTTATTCCACAGTTTTTCTCCCAAGCTGCATTTTTCACTTTATTTCAGAATTGGATTTGCGACTCAAAACCAAAGGCTCCCCACTGCTGCAAGATATTTCTGCAGAAAGATCACCAAATGGAATACAATTGGTAAGATTTCCAAGGGATGAAATCTTCCACACTAGGATAAGAAGCACAATATTCATGAAAATTATATGAGGAAAATAGCATTTACCCAAAGAAAACAGAGTCTGAAGAGATTCTCTGAGTTATCATGAATATGGGAAGTACTCTAAACTTATTATAAACATGTTTCTTCTCAGAGATCTCACAAATAAACATCCACAAACATACAACTCAGCTATTCAGTTTTTGGTGGTGCATAATTTATTTTACTTTATTATTATTTTTGAGACAGGGTCTTACTCTGTTGCTCAGGCTGGTGTGCAGTGGTGCAGTCTTGGCTCACTGCAACCTCTGTTTCCTGGGCTCAAATGATCTTCCAGCCTCAGCCTCCTGAAGAGCTGAGACTACAGGCGTGAGCCACCATGCCTGGCTGATGGCTGATTTTATTTATTTATTTATTTATTTATTTATTTATTTATTTTGTAGAGATGGGGTTTCACCATTTTGTCCAGGCTGGTCTCAAATTCCTGAGCTGAAAGCAACCCACTTGCTTTGGCCTCCAAAGTGCTGGGATTACAGGCATGAGCCACTGTGCCCAGCCCGTAATTTAGTCTAAATATTTCTCAGATGTATTGTGGCTCATGCCTGTAATCCCAGCACTTTGGGAGGCCAAAGCGGGCAGACACTTGAGGCCAGGATTTGGAAACCAGCCTGGCCAACATGGCAAAAATCTGTTTTTACTAAAAATACAAAAATTAGCTGGGCATAGTGGCACATGCCTGTAATCCCAGCTACTTGGGAGGCTGAGGCATGAGAATCCCTTGAACCGGGAGGCAGAGGTTGCTGTGAGTCGAGATCATACCACTGCACTTCAGTCTGGGCAAAGTGAGAATCTTTTTCAATAAAAAGCAAAAGTAATAAAAAAAATATATATATATATATCAGACAGATTGTCTAAGAAGCTCTGTGAACACAGAGAATATAGGCAGGCTATATAGGCAGAGAATATAGGTGGCCTCTTATGTCCTATTATTCAACTTAACTCAAAAATGGGGCTGGAACTCTGTACATATAATGGATATGTTAAAATGTTTAAATATATTTCCAATGCATAAATGTTGTGACTGAGGAGAAATTCTGTTACCATACTGAATGTGAGAGATTCTTTGTTCATCTTTTATATCTGAACAGGAGAGAAGCAATACTGCAGAGAAACTCTATGACTCTAACCATTGTGGAAAAGTCTTCAGTGAACACCCATTTCTTATGACTCACATGAGAACTCACATTGGAGAGAAAACTTCTGAGGATGATCAGAGTGGAAAAACCTTAAGAAAGAACTTTCCTCATAGTTTTTACAAGAAAAGTCATGCTGAGGGGAAAACACCTAAGTATGTTAAACATGAAAAAGCCTTCAACAAGTTTTCAAATCTTACTAGGCAGAATAAAACTCACACACAAGAGAAGTTGTGTGAATGCACAGATTGTTGGAGAACTTTTCTTTATCAGTCATCCCTTAAGGTACATGTAAGATCTCACAATGGAGACAAACATTATATATGTAAGGAATGTGGGAAAGCCTTCAGTAATTCCTCACACCTTATAGGACATGGAAGAACTCACAGTGGAGAGAAGCCCTATGTCTGTAAAGAATGTGGTAAAGCTTTCATTCAATCCACAGGACTTAAATTACACATCAGAACTCACACTGGAGAAAAACCATATAAATGTAAAGAGTGTGGGAAAGCCTTCACCCATTCTTCATACCTTACTGATCATACAAGAATTCACAGTGGAAAGAAGCCCTATGTATGTATGGAATGTGGAAAAGCCTTCACTAGATCCACAGGACTCATTTTACACATACGAATTCACACTGGAGAAAAGCCATATGAATGTAAAGAGTGTGGAAAAGTTTTTATTCATTCCTCATACCTTACAAAACATGTAAGGATTCACAGTGGAGAGAAGCCATATTTATGTAAGGAATGTGGGAAAGCTTTTACTCGTTCCTCAGGACTTGTTTTACATATGAGAACACACACTGGAGAAAAGCCCTATGAATGTAAAGAATGTGGGAAAGCCTTTAATAATTCCTCAATGCTTAGTCAACATGTAAGGATTCACACTGGAGAGAAGCCTTATGAATGCAAAGAATGTGGAAAAGCTTTCATTCAATCCTCGGGCCTTAGTACCCATTTAAGAACTCACACTGGAGAAAAGGGCTATGAATGTAAGGAATGCGGTAAAGCATTTGCTCGTTCCACAAATCTTAATATGCACATGCGAATGCACACAGGAGAAAAGCCTTACACATGTAAAGAATGTGGGAAAGCCTTCAGGTACTCCACATGCCTTAACGTTCATATGCGAACTCATACTGGAGCAAAACCATATGAATGTAAGAAATGTGGGAAAAACTTCACTCAGTCTTCAGCACTTGCTAAACATCTAAGAACCAAGGCATGTGAAAAAACCTAAAGTGTTCCTCAGATCTTAGTATTTACATCTAAACTCATCTGGAAACAAATCATATGAAGGTAAACAATATGAAGAACCTTCACTGAATTTCCATTTCTTATATAATAGGAATGAATTTAACATGCACACAAGTCCCAGTGATATAAGGAATAGGCGAGAGTAGTAGTTCTTCACACCTTATAAAGTGTAAGAACTCACCTTTGGGAGAAAAATCTGGTTCTAAGACGTGGTAAAGTCTGTTTCTTCCACTATTGTTTCTTTTTCTTTTCTTTTTTTTTCTTTTTTCTTTTTTTTTGAGACAGAGTCTCTCTCTGTCACCCAGGCTGGAGTGCAGTGGTGCAACCTTGGCCCACTGCAACCTCTGCCTGCTGGGTTCAAGGAATTCTCCTGCCTCAGCCTCCCGAATAGATGGGACTACAGGCGTGTGCCACCATGCCCGGCTAATTTTTTGTATTTTTAGTAGAGACGGGGTTTCACCATGTTAGCGAGAATGGTCTCGATCTCCTGACCTCATGATCTGCCCGCCTCAGCCTCCCAAAGTGCTGCGATTATAGGCATGAGCCATCACACCCAGCATATTATTTTTCATACCAAAAATTACCATAAAAGCCAATTGAAGGTAAGAATGAGAGATAGCCTTAAAATACTTCACAAGACTTCATAGCACTTCGTAGTCGACACTGGAGAAAAACCCTCTGTATGTAAGGAATGTGATAAAACATTTACTTAGTGCTCAGGACTTAGTATCCACATGAGAATTCACAGAGGTATAAAACCCTACAAATGTAAAGGCTATAAGATCTTCACTTATACCTCTTAATAACTCAACATTAAAGAACTCACAGTGGGCAGATAGCCTATATATATAAGAAATCTGGGACAGCCTTCAGAAATTTCTAACAGTTTCATGTATAAGAAACCTTATCAATTTAAGGCATGTTAAGAATTCTTCCAGTGTTACTAAGTCAACTTGCATTGGAGAGAAACCCTATGAAGGTAAGATGTGGGAAATCTTCTGCCTCGTGTCAATATATGGTAATCTCAGGCCAGAAACATTATGAATGCTAGAAATATGGGAATGCCTTCATATATACACACACACACACACATATATATGCACACACATACATACACATATGTATTATTTCATCCTTTAAATGATAATTCATACTGGAGAGAAATCTTGACAATACAGAATGAGGGAAATGTTGCATCCATTTTACAAGTCTTACTATACATGTGAAAACCCACACTGCAAAGAAGCTATATAAATGTGAAAATATGGGAATATGGTGGGTGTGGGTGGCTCATGCCTGTACTCCCAGCACTTTAGGAGGTCAAGGTGGGCAGATCACTTGAGGTCAGGAGTTTGAGACCAGCCTGCCACCATGGTTAAACTTTGTCTCTACTAAAAATACAAAAATTAGCCAAGCATGGTGGCAGGTGCCTGTAATCCCAGCTGCTTGGGAGGCTGAGGCAGGAGAATTGAGTGAACCCAGGAGATGGAAGTTGCAGTGAGCCGAGATACCTCCACTGCACTGCAGCCTGGGTGACAGAGCAAAACTCCATCTCAAAAAAAAAAAAAAAAGTAATATTTTTAGCAGTACATATCCCTTAAGTGCCTCTGAAAATACTCACTGGAAGAATATGAATCTGAGGAGTTATGGGAAGCTTTCCAGTACTACTGTTACTGTACACAAGATAATTCATACTAGAGGAGAAATTGAAATAAATGACATGACAATGAGATTGCCTTTCTATATGTCTTACTGTCCATGGTGACTTGTCATGGACAGTAAATTTTCTGTGGTTGAAAAGTTTAATTGCTTTTAAAATTCCCCCAAGTAGAATTTTTTCTATATCGTAGTAAGAAGATCATGTGGGAGGAGTGAGGGCTGGAACAGTGGACTGTGCAGTGGATGTTAGGATGTTATATTTAATCCCCATGGTGACCAGGCCATGCCTTTAATTCTAGCACTTTGGAGGCTAAGGTGGGCGGATCACAAGGTCAAGAGATCGAGAGCAGCCTGGCCAACATGGTGAAACCCCATTATAGATGTTCATTGTAAAAAAAATACAAAAATAGATAGTACCATAAATATAATAGAATGAAAATCATGAGTAATCTCCTATCTAGGAATAATGGTTTAATTATGAAGGGTTTATAAAAATTTAAAAAAAAAAAAAATACAAAAATTAGCTGGGTGTGGTGGTGCGTGCCTGTAGTCCCAGCTACTCGAGATGCTGAGGCAGGAGGATCGCTTGAACGCGGGAGGTGGAGGTTGCAGTGAGCCAAGATCACACCATTGGACTCCAGGCTGGGCAACAAGAGTGATACTCCATCTCAAAAAAAGAAAAAAAAAAATCGCCATGGTAACTACAGAGAAAATATCAATGGAATATGTACAAAATGAGAAGAAAAAAAGATGTCACTACAAAAAACAAATTAACAAGAAAGGCAGTAATGTAGGAAATGAGGGACCAAAAAGCTGTAAGACATACAGAAAAAGAGTAACAAAGTGGCAAAATAAGTCTTTTTTATTGTTAATTACATGAAAGATAAATGGGATAACGTCTCCAATCTAATGGCATAATTTGGCAAAATGGATTAAAATACACAATCCAACTGTATGTTAGATGACGTCTCGCTCTGTCGCCCAGGCTGGAGTGCGGTGGCGCGATCTCGGCTCACTGCAAGCTCTGCCTCCCGGGTTCACGCCATTCTCCTGCCTCAGTCTCCCAAGTAGCTGGGACCACAGGCGCCCACCACCACACCCGGCTAACTTTTTTGTGTGTTTTTTAGTAGAGACGGGGTTTCACCATGTTAGCTGGGATGGTCTTGATCTCCTGACCTCATGACTCGCCTGCCTCGGCCTCCCAAAGTGCTGGGATTACAGGCATGAGCCACCACGCTCAGCCTTTTTTTTTTTTTTTTTTTTTTTTTAAAAAAGATGAAGTCTCGCTCTGTCGCGCAGGCTGGATTGCAATGGCAAGATCCTGGCTCACTGCAACCTCCACCTCCTGGGTTCCAGCAATTCTTCCTGCCTCAGCCTCCTGAGTGGTTGAGATTACAGGCACCCACCACCATGCCCAGCTAATTTTTGTAGTATTAGTAGAGACAGGGTTTTACCATGTTGACCAGGCTGGTCTCAAACTCCTGACCTCAGGTGATCCGCCCACCTCGGCCCCCGAAAGTGCTGGGATTACAGACGTGAGCCGCCACACCCGGCCATCCTTCACTTTAGATCTAAAGACAAAAAAGTTTGAAAGTTAAATAATGGAAAAAGATAATTCCATGTAAATAGTAACCTAAAGAGAATTTGGCTGGGTATACTAATATCAAACAAGATAAACTTGAAGTCAAAAACTGATAGAAGAGACAGTGAATGACAGTATATATTGATAGAAGGTAAAATTCATCAAGAAGATAAAAAAATTATATCAAATATCAGAGTCTAAAATACATGAAGTAAATATTGGCAAAATTAAGGGAAAAATAGACAATTCTGCATAACAATTGGAGACCTCAATATACCACTTTCAATTTAATAGGTAGGACAGCCACCCATAATATCAAGAAGGAAACAGGACAAGTACCATATACCAGTTGACTCTAACAGGCACAACCCACCCAACAACAGAACACATTTTTCTCAAGCATATGTGGAATAGTTTCCAGGAGAAACCATATGTTAGGCCACAAAACAAATATTAATGCAATGTAAAAGACTGAAATACAAAGTACCATTTCAAGTCACATAGAATGAAACAAGAAATGAAAAACAAGGAAAACTGGAAAATTCACAAATACTTTTTATTGTAAGCAACACACTCCTGATCTACCAATGGGTGAAGGAAGAATTCACAAGGGAAATTAGAAAACATCTTGAGAAAAATGAAAACAAAGACATGGCATACCAAAATTTATGAGATGTTGCTGTGGTCTAAATTTTGTCTCTGGCGAAGCACGGTGGCTAACGCCTGTAATCCCAGCACTTTGGGAGGCTGAGGTGGGTGGATCACAAGGTCAGGAGATCAAGACCATCCTGGTTAACATGGTGAAACCCTGTCTCTACTAAAAAAAAAAATACAAAAAATTAGCTGGGCATGGTGGCCGACACCTGTAGTCCCAGCTACTCTGGAGGCTGAGGCAGGAGAATGGTGTCAACCTGGGAAGCGGAGCTTGCAGTGAGCCAAGATCGTGCCACTGAACTCCAGCCTAGGGGACAGAGTGGGACTCCATCTCAAAATAAGTAAATAAATTTTGTCTCCTCAACTTGCATATGTTGACATTCTTAACTCCCAAAGTGATTGTATTAGGAGCTGGGAACTTTGGGACATGATGAAGTCATGAGGGTCTGCAGAATGGGATTACCCCCTCATGGAAGACACCCCAAAGATATTTCATGCCACTTTTGTATTTGGTTACTTCAAGAAGATGGCTGTCTGTGAACCAGGAAAAGGGTCCTCACCTGACACTGAATCTGACTGTACCTTGATCTTTGACCTAATCTCCAGAACTGGGAGAAATAAATTTATGTTGTTTATTAACCACCAGTCTGTGGTATTTTGTTATAGCAGCCTGAATGGACAGATACAGTGAAAGCAGTGAAAAGAGGGAAATTCATTGCAGTAGCTACTCAAATTCAAAAAGAAGAAAGATCTCAAAGATTAAGTCAAGGAATGTTTCACAGAATTCACTTTAAAAAGAGAAGTGCTGGAAAGGATGTAAATTAAATAACGTATGAGATAAGCAAAAAGTTTCAATATCCAGCTACAAGGCATTCTAGAATGAGAGAATAGAAAAAACAAATGGGAAATTACTGAAAAAAGCAATAATAATTTTTTTGGGGGTGGGGGACGGAGTCTTAATTTGTTGCCTGGAACTCAGTGGCACAATCTCCACTCACTGCAACCTCCACCTCCCAGGTTCAAGTGATTCTCCTGCCTCAGCCTCCCAAGTAGCTGGGATCACAGGCATGCACCACCACACCCGGCTAAGGTTTTGTATTTTTTTTTGTAGAGACGAGGTTTCGTCATGTTGGCCAGGCTCAACTCC